TTGGGAGAATACTTCCTCATGAGTACTGAAGAGATCTCTTTTATTTAAACAGAGCATTTAAACAACTCCCAGTATAATTCAAAGTTTTTTTTGTTGTCTTCAATAAAGCTTGGATCAGGGTCTTTAAGAGGTAAAAAAAAAATCTGGCACATACCAATATCATAAGGGCAAATGTATTTTCAAATACTGTGTTTGCTTAAAATTAAGATCAATGGGATGAAATTAAGAAAATAAAAAATTAAAATGATTTTTCAGGAAAAATTTACTCATGATCAGAGCTACTGGGTTGTAGAAAAACCTTCCAAAACAGTGTTGGCAGCTTGATGCATGACTAGATAAAGTACTAGAAAATATATAATAAGGAACAATCCTGCACTGGAAGGGAATTCAGTAAACTGATCTAATGTGGGATTTTTTTTCCTATTGCTTCCATCTACAATTCTTTGATTAACTAAGCACACAAACAAAGCATTTTTACTGAGTAGGAATGTTACCTGAAGCAAAGAGGATTCAGTGAATATCTGAAGGAAAGCAAACTGTGTCCCCTGAATACTAGGTAAAAGAGAAAAACAAAACATGCAGATGTAGCATATCAAAGTTTAATGGCAATAAATACAAGAGGGATGACAGGAAATCCCTTTGATTCATCATTAACATATAGTGGCAGTAAAACTGTAGAGAGGGCATTGCCAGCGAGACTTGCTCAGTAATAAACCTAGATCACCTTACCAAATAAGTTCATGCAGGCCTCTCTAGAGAGCCTTCTAGCTTAATTATTCTAGGGTGACAATGCTGCTACAGTAGACACTGAATCAATGTGCCATTATATTACATTTTTTGGTGATTGTTACTCAGCCTGTTCAAACTGCAACATTTAGAAGTCAAATTCTTCTGCAGGTGTGTATGCAGGGCTCTCATTCACAGGGAACTTCACGCATACATTCAAGGTAAATCTGGCCTTGTGAATGTGCATTTTAGTTTCAGGCTGTAGGAGGTTGCTGGTGTGCTGCCTAGAGCCAAGTCGTCTCCCTATAGATGGTAGTGTTTCGTCTTTCAGAAAAATTTCCTGCCATGCCTTTGATGTTATGGGAGATAGATGTTGAAACACTCTTGGGGAAACAAAGGGTTAGTTAGGGGCTCACGGCATCGACTGGTCTTCGCAGGGATCCATCATCCCCATCTGCTGCTCCCTACCCACTCCAGATGTTCTGGGCATGTTGGTACTGGTCTCTGATGTTGATACTCTGGCCTTGGTCTTAAGGACCACTGATAGGAATCTCCCTCCTCCTTTGGCTGCTTGCCCCGTTCTTCCTTGCATGGGGAAGCCAGCCACTCTTGCTTCTAGTCCCACTCTTACCTTCAGGGTCGGAGTAATCTCGTCCGTGTCTTCACTTTCTTCAAGGTTCCCAGAGTGGTTAACTTCACACTCCGGGATGGGAGTCAGCAACTGAGCAGTTTCCTCTATTCCTGCATCACCTCTCCCCTGCAGAGCAGCTTCTTTGTTGGATCCTCCAGGTAAGTCGAGGAACAGGGGTTTACCTTTGAGCTCCGGGGTCGGTCTTCTATTCCAGTATTCTCTTCTGCATTCTCTCTCTTCTCTTCTTTTCTTCTCTCCAGCCACCTCCTGAATGCCCTCTCGGTGTCCCTTAAATTTCCCTCTTGCCCAGCTGAGTCTGCCATGGCAGTCTCCCATTCACTGACTGCCTGACCTAACTGTTTTCTCTTTCTTTGGTGTGGTTTTTCTTTCTCCTTTTGATTGCACTGTTCTCCCTTCTCCTGGGCTCAAGCCCTGGCAGCTGGGTTTGCCGCAGCAGCCTTTGATTTGCTGCAGCCCCAGGTGGTTCCTTTAATTGCTCAGAGCACAGTGTTTCTTCCACCCAGGCTCACTGCAGTTTTCCCTGCCTCTCTGGGTAAGTTTGGTTTTTTGGGGTTTTCTCTATCGTTCCCATGACAGGGTGTTTCAGTCACTCTGTCACACAGGTATTTGAAATCCTTTCTTCCAGGTAAAAGAAAAAACACCATGTGCTTACAGTTCAACAAGGCTACTCACATGCTTAAAATTAAACTTAAGAGCTTGACTGAATACCAGCTTGAATCTCCTAAGTCTGAGCTGGAATATGTACATTTAACGCAACTAACTCTCAAGCGTAGGGGTGGTTTGTTCCTTACATTTCAGAGTTGGAGCTTTAATCAACAATAGGCCAGGTCCTGAGGTCTCTGCTTAATGCTTACTCAGGTAAAACTACCATTAGTTTCTATGTAAGTTTTGCATGGATAAGGACTGAGCTGGATGTACCAACATAATGATACTTCCCATTTCCTCAACACCTTCTAGAGATGGTACTATCAAATTAGTTTAAAAACACTAATTCATTTCATCACACTGTCGTGAGGCAAGTATTATTTTCCCTAAAGCCAAAACTTTAACTGGGAAATTTCTGAGTTCCCAGATATAGATGTTTTGTGCCTGATTTTGAGAACAGGTGGAGACTGGCAATTCTAAAGATAGGCCCAAACCATCTCAAACTGGACCCAAAAACTGACGCATCTCCAAAATGCATGACTGCTTTTGAAAATGTAGGTGCATATGATCTGGCTAAGGTCTCACAACAAGCATATGGCACAGCCAGGAGGAGAGCCCAGATTTCAGTCTTGCTTATTGATCTCAAGATTGTGCACCTCGGATATTCTGTTTGAGAAACCTTAAACAAGTATTTCCAGATAGAGAAGAGAGTTTCACAACTAATTTATGACATAGAAAAGATGTCATGTAAAACAAACTTGAACTCTTAAGTGTTATTAGTGTGCGTGTGGAGAGGAGGCGGGTTTAATTGGTTGGTTGCTCAAAAAAGACCAAACCAGTTATGCCAGGGTTAATGTAGAATGTGTTCAGCTCCAGGACTCTGATCATGGATTCAGGCCTTTAGACACCATTGAAAGAAAAATAATAAATGAAAATCTTAAAAAAAAAAAAAAAAAAGGATGTGAAGCATTCTACTAAATGATGCTGTGCAAACAGGTCCCTCTAAAAATATGTTAAGTCCATATTTAGAAGTTAAAAAGAACACAGCTAGTACAGTACAGTATATTTACTAAATAATGCAATGTACTTGTCACAAGATACTTCAGTGAATAAATTGGGTCAATGGTTTCTCTCAATTAACAAATCTGTTTTTACATTTACAAGTACCTGACACCACCAATACGGAAGTATTTCCTAAGCTTTTAGCAGCATGCATTCCCATTAGCTCAGAATTGCATTTTTGTGTTCTTAATCCCATGATTTTTTTCATGGAGGTCATTGTTTCAATCTCCCCTCAAAGTAACATCTTCTAATCATCTGTTGTATAGAGGCAGGGGAAGAGAAAGATAGACATGTTTTTAGTCAGTTGGTATGAAGGTAAAAATCATTTGTATTTTCTTGAGGGGAACAGGAAGGGAAGGAGGCATTCCTTAATTGCTGAAAGCAAAAATTTGCAATCCAGTTATTATCTGGAACAAGAAAAAATAGGTGAGGCTGAGAAAATCACATCTATCTGTTAGTATCAAGCAGAAGAGGATACTGAAACTTAATCTCAGGAGAAAGCAGTTTTATTTCATTGTAAGTACACATTTATTTTTTATAGTTAGGGGGGAAAGCTATTTTAATACCCCAGCCTTTCATTAATAAAAATGCACTACTACAAATGAAGAAAATTTACTAGAATGGAGTGAAGACAATTTAGAAAAGAAACCCAGTGCCTTTGATTTTAATTCTACCCTGTGCAGAGAGAAGCAACAAATGTACTTTATATTGGTGTTTGTATAATACTACTCAGGACACAAAGACATTTCAAACCAGCAAGATTTGGCTTTTTGATCTCTGTGGAGCTGGTATGTCTCCAGGGATGTCATTTTTAAATTAAGTACATCAGAACTGTGTTTTAGATGGAAAAGTAAATTCTCTGTCTGAACTCTTCTATTTGTGGATTACAACATTGATAGTTACAGTCCTGTGAAGGCTAAAAGAGCATGTTGGATGTTTCCTTTGCCCCAGCAAATATTTACCAATACTCCAGTGAAGCTATTTCAAATAATATTCAAGTGCTGTCCTTCCTCACACTGTACTATTTCGTGGGAGGGAGGTGGCTTGGGGAAGAAATATAATCCAAATATGTTTTCTCATAATTTTAGTCTATCATGTTCCATTCCAATGGTTCTTAACCTTTTTAGACGGAAGACCCACTCCATAGGCTTGAGGCACTCCTCAGAAAATGCCAGCACTTCGTTTTCACTCAGTTTTGCAGAAAAACAACGGATCAATGTTTCTGTTGCAAAGAGCTCAGAAAGGCCACAGCAGGTCTGAGTGCTTTTGGCACTTATGATTCCTCCTTGAAATCTCTTGAGTTTGTCTTGTGAATCACATTTGCACACCTAACAGTGCTAACATTGCGTGACATCCGCGTGGTACCCTTGAAAGGATCTCAGCCACACCCTGGTGAGACTCACCGATCTCTTCCTATCTGTGGAACGCAGTTATGGGATGACTACCTGCACCAGAATTTGTGTGCGTCCTAATGCACCTGGCAAAGTAGGCTGCTGCTTGCAAAAGCTCACTCACACTTCTCCAAAGCCAGTTAGTCACTAAGGTGCCATCCTTCCCTGTCTTCCTCCTAGCTAGGAAAAGTGACGGTCCCGAGCAGACGAGCCCGGCCTCTGGATAAGCCAAGGCCGGCAGCGCGTGACGCGGCGGCAGGGGGGCGGAGGAGGCGGCGCCGGCGAGCGGGAGCTCCTCCCCGGGGGGCGGGTGCGGCGCTGCGCTCCTCAT